AGTGTAATCTGTAAATGGCACTCTTATAGTGTAATCTGTGTAAATGGTGCTCTTATAGTGTAACCATAATGTAAATAGTGATCTTGGCGTAAATGGCACTCTTATAGTGTAATCTGTGTAAATGGTGCTCTTATAGTGTAACCATAGTGTAAATAGTGATCTTGCTCTAAATGGCACTCTTATAGTGTAATCTGTGTAAATGGCACTCTTATAGTGTAATCTGTGTAAATGGTGATCTTGGCACTCTTATAGTGTAACCATAGTGTAAATAGTGATCTTGGCGTAAATGGCACTCTTATAGTGTAAAAAAGTGATCTTAAAGTGTAATCATACTGTAAATAGTGATCTTGGTGTAAATGGCACTCTTATAGTGTAATCTGTGTAAATGGTGCTCTTGTAGTGTAACCATAGTGTAAATAGTGATCTTGGCGTAAATGGCACTCTTATAGTGTAATCTGTGTAAATGGTGCTCTTATAGTGTAACCATAGTGTAAATAGTGATCTTGCTGTAAATGGCACTCTTATAGTGTAATCATAGTGTAAATAGTGATCTTGGTGTAAATGGCACTCTTATAGTGTAATCTGTGTAAATGGAGCTCTCATAGTGTAAATGGTGATCTTGGCGTAAATGGCACTCTTATAGTGTAATCTGTGTAAATGGTGCTCTTATAGTGTAACCATAGTGTAAATAGTGATCTTGCTGTATATGGCACTCTTATAGTGTTATCTGTGTAAATGGTGCTCTTATAGTGTAATCTGTAAATGGCACTCTTATAGTGTAATCTATGTAAATGGTGCTCTTATAGTGTAACCATATTGTAAATAGTGATCTTGGTGTAAATGGCACTCTTATAGTGTAATCTGTGTAAATGGTGCTCTTATAGTGTAACCATAGTGTAAATAGTGATCTTGGCGTAAATGGCACTCTTATAGTGTAATCTGTAAATGGTGCTCTTATAGTGTAATCATAGTGTAAATAGTGTTCTTGGCGTAAATGGCACTCTTATAGTGTAAAAAAGTGATCTTAAAGTGTAATCATACTGTAAATAGTGATCTTGGTGTAAATGGCACTCTTATAGTGTAATCTGTGTAAATGGTGCTCTTATAGTGTAACCATAGTGTAAATAGTGATCTTGCTGTAAATGGCACTCTTATAGTGTAATCATAGTGTAAATAGTGATCTTGGTGTAAATGGCACTCTTATAGTGTAATCTGTGTAAATGGAGCTCTCATAGTGTAAATGGTGATCTTGGCGTAAATGGCACTCTTATAGTGTAATCTGTGTAAATGGTGCTCTTATAGTGTAACCATAGTGTAAATAGTGATCTTGCTGTATATGCCACTCTTATAGTGTTATCTGTGTAAATGGTGCTCTTATAGTGTAACCATAGTGTAAATAGTGATCTTGGCGTAAATGGCACTCTTATAGTGTAATCTGTAAATGGCACTCTTATAGTGTAATCTGTGTAAATGGTGCTCTTATAGTGTAACCATAATGTAAATAGTGATCTTGGCGTAAATGGCACTCTTATAGTGTAATCTGTGTAAATGGTGCTCTTATAGTGT